ATGTTGCTTCTCAAGTCCCCTTACAATTTTAAGTAAAATTTAAGGTACAGACTTCAGAAAACTTCCAAACAGGCTAGAAGATGGGTTGGTGGGTTAAAGTACTTGCAACAACCTGAGTTAGGCTTAATTTCCCCACATGGCCAAAGGAAAGAAATGAATCCTTTAAGTTGTCCTTTGACCTCTACACACCATGTGGCACACATACACACACACACACACACACACACACACACACACACACACACACAAAATAAATAGGTAAGTAAAATATGTAGAAAACTTTCATTCATTTGCTGAGAGATAAACTATTGTTTCAGAAACAAAATTTAAGCCTCGGCTTGGCAAATAAAACAACCACAACCAAATCTATATTTAATCCATGGCATCAAAACAGGATAAGAGAGCTGTGCGTATTTGTCATCAGGATTCCAAAGCAGGAGAAACATCTGAACCCAAGAAGATAAGACCACCCTGGGCAACGTCATGAGATCAGGAATTAAGAAGATAAGTAAAAACAGAAAAAGCAAACAACTGAAGACACGAATGTGGTTTAGCCACTGTAGTAAAGAGTCCTGGACTGCTCCAATTCATAATAACACATTAGTGCTTAGATTAAACTATGGGTGATTAAACATTTCTTAGAGGGCTTATCTAGGATACGGTAGACATCCCCAGCAAAATACACACACACTTCATTAGAGATGGTTACAATTCTGATAAATGAGGTAGAAATACATTTATAAACTTACATTTAAGCAAACCATTTTCTATCCCCTGGAAAAGTGGGTAAAGGTGAAGAATATATGTGATGACAGGCAGGGCAAAAGCAAATGCAGGAAACCCCATCAACCTGTCTGGAGAGAAGTTATGAACTAAACATACTGAGCACTGAAGGACGCAGTCCTAGCCCTCAGAAAGCTCACGGCTATAGGGAAGATGCGGGGAGAGACTGTTAAAATGGAGGCCCGAGATGAACGATGGGTTCAGTGGGCTATAAAATAAAATAAGAGTGACTAAGCCTGCAATAGGTGAAGACTAAATGCCTTCTGAAGTATGTATACAGGATGCAAGTGAGAAAGGTTGGGTTCCTCACATGAGAAGGCAGAGAAAGATACGAAAATATGGCGGTTTCAGTAGCTTAGCTATAAGGGGAGGGTATTAAACAACAAAAGAAGTTCTGGTTTTATTCATCATGATTGCAGATCCATTTAGAGCACGGGAGAGGAATAAGGCAAGGCGAGAGAGCAAATGTGAGTTCTAGCTGGACTTCCTTGGCAGCTCCGGGCTAGTAGACTAGAGAAGACTACTAGATGCTAAGAAGATCAGTGATGGACACAATGCCAAGAAGATCAGTGATGGACACAATGCCATCCCGGTGAGAACTGGCCAGGACCTTCATTAGGGCAGGTATCTGAGTCTCCAAGGGCAGAAACCAGTATTCCTAGACGTCTCAGATCAATTAACAGTTTTCGGTAGAAACCACAAAAGTCATCTGAAAGGACTGAACGTGTACCCCAAAGCTCATATCTAAACTTAATGGCCAAAGTAGCAGTCAGGAATCAGAACATTAAATAGGAGACCAGGCTATTAAAGATGAGAATAGAACTTGTGCAAAGGACTGGAGGGGGTGGGTGACATCTCCACTCATCTGTCATGGTGGACAGAGAAAGGCCACTGAAGCTTTGATCTTAGACGTGCCAGACTCTAAACCGTGAGAAATGTGTTTCTGTGATGTGTAAGACACCATCTTCATGGTATTCTTTTGTTTGTTTGTTTGTTTGTTTTTGGTTTTTTGAGACAGGGTTTCTCTGTATTGTTTTGGAGGCTGTCCTGGAACTCACTCTGTAGACCAGGCTGGCCTCGAACTCACAGAGATCCGCCTGCCTCTGCCTCCCGAGTGCTGGGATCAAAGGAGTGCGCCACCAATGCCCGGCTGCTTCATGGTATTCTGTCACAGCAGCACACAGACTGTATGGAAGCACTGCGGAGCCCCACCCACCCTTGGAGCAGCTCCCAGATCCCCAGGTCAGAGAATGTGCTGAGGAGTGTACGTGCTTCAGGCACCCTTGGAGCAGCTTCCAGATCCCCAGGTCAGAGAATGTGCTGAGGAGTGTACGTGCTTAAGGCAGCTTTGCTTTATCTTAGCCCTTGGTCACAGTAACTTCAACAAAGCTTTCTCTACACGAAGTCATCACAAGCCAGGGATGGACTTCCGTGTAAGGAAGTGAACTTGAGGGGTTGCACCACACACACACACACACACACACACACACACACACACGTGTGCATACTTTTGGGAGTCAAGAGGTCAACCTGAAGTAGCCAGGAGCCATCTACTTTGTGCTCTGAGGCAAGGTCTCTTACTGGCCAGCAAGACCCAGGGATCCACCTGTCTCTGCATCCCAATAATGGGATTGTAAGCATGCACCACTATGCCTTGCTTTTACATGAGCTCTGGGGATTTCACTCAGGTCCTCATGCTTGAGCTCCAATGACCCTAAGAGCTGAGTCATCTCCCCAGACTCAATGGTGGTTTTATTTTTTACATCAAAATAAGGCCAGAAGAACAACACTGAAACTTACCTTAAGATTATTTTCCAGCTTTAGAGTCTGGGCAGCCCCAAAGCCTTGGCATCGGTATGTCATGATTCAACATAAAGCTCCAGATGAGGTCTGACTGACCTGTCAAAGTCTATTTTGTTTCTGACCTGTTACTCTCAGCTCTAATCCTAACAGAAATTTGTACCCGTTCCCAGTGGAGGCCTGTGCATCCCCGGGATCCGGCCAAGCTCTCACACTCTTTTCTATTCTTTGGCTTTTGTGCATCTGGTACTTGCCTGGAATGCCCTTTCCTCCACTCTTCCCACAGCTAACGTCTCTGATTTTAGCTCTCAGCTGAAAAGCATTCTCTGGCTACTCTATCTAAAAGGCGGCCTGGGTTGGCAACATAGCTCAGTAGGGAAAGATGCTTGCCTCGAAAAACCTGATGGTGACCTGAGTTTCATCCCTGGAACCCAGACAAAGCTGGAAGGAGAGAACTGACTCCACAAAGTTGCCAGAGGGATTATCATGGCCTCTACACATGTTGCACGAGCGTGTGTGCGCGCACGCATGCACACACACACACACACACATACACACGCATGCACGCATGCAGACATGTATACTGTCCATTTTCAGGCTCGTGAGAATGGAATAAATTGATCCAACAGAGTGGTTCTGGGTACCCAGCAAGCACAATGTTCCAATGTCAGATTTTTTTATTTAAGATAGGTAGGTAGAGAGATAGATGATAGATAGATAGATAGATAGATAGATAGATAGATAGATAGATAGATGATAAATAAAATAGTTAAGGAGCTGTTATTTTGCATCCATTCCTCTCTGTGGTCCTTGTTACTTTGCACATCCAAGGCCCAGCAGCGTTGACCTCCCCTCTGGATATAGCGACTCACTTCCCTACTCAGACCTGCTGAGTCTGAATGAACACAGCAGGAGCAAAGCAGAGCAGAGGAAGACACAGCAAGTGAGAGGTCTGTTCCCCCCAGAACAGAAGTTGACTTCTCTGTTCTTCATTGTGTCTGTGAGGGTGAGCATCAAAGAGATTCTTTTCTCCTGAAGTCCTGGGTGGTGAGATTCCCACCCTGATCCTGGAAGTGTCCCAGGCTTCCCATGCCATCCCAAGGAAGAAACAAGCTCTCATTTACCTACTGTGCTTTCCTTGAAAATACAAAGGAAGTATCAGTGAGGCCTGATGGAGTATTGAGTACTTAGGGAAAAAAAGTCTAAATTCATGGAAATTCAGATGCTAATTGCCTTCCTCTCTCTATGGCACCTAACCAGTATTTTAATCTTTTTTATTGTTTGTTTGTTTTAACTTGTGATGATCCTCCTGTCACTGCCTCCTATGCTGAAATTATAGGTGTTCAACTCTTCACCAAACATAAATCTATGTGTATAGGTGTTTTGTCTGTAAAATGTCTATGTATCACATGTGTGCTTGGTACTCTCACAGGCCAGAAGAGGATGTTGGCATTACAGATAATTGTGAGCCACCATCAGAACTGTATTCAAGTCTTCTGGAAGAACACTCAGTGCTCTTATTTGCTGAGTCATCACTCTTGAGTCTAAACACACAATTTAATATTGATGTGATTATTCAGAACATGGTGGTCCTTGAAAGAAGACTCAACTCTTGACTTAGAACATGGTGGTCCTTGAAAGAAGACTCAACTCTTGACTTAGAACATGGTGGTCCTTGAAAGAAGACTCAACTCTTGACTTAGAGGAGGGGTGGACAAGAGAGACTTCAGATCAATGGAAGTGACTACCATATGTCTATAGCATTTGAGCATCATAGGATCGATCCCTTGCTGCTTTGGGAAGCATGTCAGCTACTGTTCTCACTGTGAAGAGACACTGACACCAAGGTAAGTCCTATAAGGCATCTACTGAAGGCTCACTTACAGTTTCAGAGGGTTAGTCCATGGTTATCACAGCAAGCCTGGAGCAGAGAGCTTATATCCTGATCCTCAGGCTGGGAGAGAGAGAAAGAGACAGACACAAACACAGACAGAAAAAGTTCTGGCATGAGCTTTTGAAACCTCAAAGCCTACCCTCCCAGTGACACACCTCCTCAAGCAAGGCCTCTTAATCCTTCCCAAATAGTTCCACTAACTGGGTACCAAACATTCAGATACATGAGCCTATGGAGCACACTCTCATTCAAACAGGAATGTTCATAAATCAACATCTTTTGATACTCAAGATACTTCATCCTTGTTGCTCATCTGCACCCCAAGCTTCCTCATGACTAGACCAAGGACCAAAGATATGGGAAGACAGGTTGCTTCCTGGTAGAGGATTTCAATGTGGCTTAATTTTGATTCAAAGAAAAGGGTACAGCCTCCTATACTACAATGACAGCAAGAATATCTGATGCGGGCAACTGCCAATTAGGAAACTATTAAGATAGAAGAGGAGTGAGCAGCAAAGGATTACCAGGCAGAAATAACACATGTGACCCCAAATTCTTTGTGATGTCATAAGGAGTATTCATGAAAGCGTATCTTGGGAAGGCTACGCCTATTTGGGACTATGTCAAAGAAGAGTAGAGAGGAAGAGAACGCAAGACTGAAATGTTATCAAGAAGGAAATGAGCAACAGCACAAGACTCAAATACCACGAAGGAAATCTTGGAAATCTTTGAGCCCTTTAATCCTCTAGGGAAGGAGAGCTGTGAGGCTAGACTCCTCTTGGTTTTTCATTTACCGCAATGAAACTTGGTGGAAGTTCATCCAGAACTACAGGGTTGTGGTTGTTAATTCATCAATGGAAGCATCAATTTGTCACTGAAAAGAAAAACAAATGTCATGGGAACAAGATAAAGCTTATGTAAACTGAATATAATATTTCTTAATAGGCTGCTTTCTGCAGCACCAAATGGAGGTTATTATCTACCTCAGGAGGTAATTTAAATAATGGTTGCGGAACCCCAGAGCGAACTCAATTTATTGAGGGTTCTTTAGGTGGCTAATGAAAAATCAAATCTAATGAATTTTCTACCTCTAGCAAATACAATCTGTACACATCAGATAGATAATATTATATGGGTAACTGATTGTCCTAATTTATTCCTTGATTTGCATTTGTTTAAGACAGGGCTTCAAGTAGCCCAGGCTGGCTCAAACTCACTAGGTAGCTGAGGACGACCTTGAACTTATGAGTCTCTTGCCCCTACCTACAGAGTGTAGAAATTTCTTTATTCTCAAATTCCACTAGGCTTCCTATTTGTTTTGTTTTTCTGGTGTTAGAGACTAAATCCAGCGCTTACTGTCACATGCTAGGAAAGCATGGTACTACCACTGAGCTATAGACCCAGTTCTTAATTTCCCTTGACTGCTATTATTAAATAAGATTGGAACTTTACTAACTCCAAAAAGGAGGTAGCACATGTCTGCCATCAGGTACCTATGTTCTCTATTTATCTAATGCTGGCACCCCTGTCTAGGGTATTGTTAGCTTAAAACTATTTATTCATCTGTACTTAGATGCGTTTATTCTTTCTTCACCTAAACTTAAGCACTGAAGGCTTCGGAATTTTTCTTTCTTTTTTTTTTTTTAACTTTAAAATCCTACCTGGGAGCTGGAAAGAGATGACTCAGGGTTTAAGAGCACTTACTGCTCTTGCACAAGACCCAGATTTGGCTCTCAGCACCCATATAATCACTTGCAACTACCTGCAATTCCAATTCCAGGGGAATCCAACGCCCTCTTCTGGCCTCCATGGGCTCCTGCACACAGGTGGTGTTCATAAACTTGTGCAAGCAAACACGTGTAGAAATAAATAAATGCATACATCTTTTAAAAATAACTCAAAAATTTTAACTTACCTGTACTAAACAAGTCTAACATTTTAGAAAATGTCTTTTAGCTTATATGGTGAAAACAATCTATTTGTATAGTGAGAAAGTAAACAGGCATAAAAAAAAGGTGGAGGGAAAACTTCATATTTTTATTTATTTACTTAGTTATTGGGGTTTTTTTGAGACAGGGTTTGTTTGTGTAACAGCCCAGGCTATCCTGGAACTCGTTTTGTAGACCAAAGTGGCTTCAAACTTGCAGAGATCCACCTGCCTCTGCCTCCTGAGTGCTGGGTTAAAGGCATGTACCACCACCCAGCTAGACTTTATATTTTTTACATGTAAGCTGGAAGTAAAATTCAGTTACATTTTGGTTTCTTTAAGGAAAAATCAATTCTATCAGGATATTAGCATTGCTGAGATTAAAGTACTTAGTTTCTGTGACCCCACATTCTCTGAAGAACAGGCTTTAATTGAAATTTTATATTTTTCAAAGCGGGAGTGCTGTTTCAGATTCCTTATCCAGTCACTGGAATTTGCCTTGTGACTCTGAAACTGTGAGTATTACATTACAGTCTCATGAATCACTCCTGCTGTCCCAACAGGAAGTAACAACAGAAATGCAAAGAAACTGTGATCTATTTTGTTCCCTGTTGTGAACTAAAGACTGGATTTTTTTTTAATTGTAGCATTTTCCTTCTGTATCAAAGATAAGAACTGCAACATATAAAGGCTTATTATATAAATACAATCTATGATGCATATCATTGTATACACACTAGTACTTGTCTCTATGAGTATGCCTGAATGTCTACAAATTGCTATAAAGTTTTACTACAGATCTATTGCTCATGTCTCTCTCAGTTACAATTTTAAAATTCTGCATCTTAGTTTTAAGTCTTATTATCTCAAAGAAATGGTAAAAATACCTGGTGAGTACCCGGCAGTGGTGGCACACACCTTTAATCCCAGCACTCAGGAGGCAGAGGCAGGTGGATCTCTGTGAGTTTGAAGCCAGCCTGGTCTATAGAGTGAGTTCTGGGACAGGCTCCAAGTTACACAGAGAAACCCTGTCTCAAAAAAACCAAAAAGAATACCAGGTGATATATCTATAATCAGCTTTATTAGACCATTCTACTATGTATACATTGCACCTCATAAAAACATAGTTATTTCAGATAAAAATAAAATAAATATTTAAAAATCCATATCTTTAAAAAAATCTACATTTTTAGGGCTGGAGAGAAGGCTCAGCAGCTAAGAGTGTTTGCAGCTCTTACAGAGGAGCCTAGTTGGGGTCCCAGCACACGTGTGTGCATATGCACATGCTCCACTCAGAGACACATATGTACAAAATCATAGATAAGCAAACACACATGTTTTAAAGGGAGACTCTTCTTAAAAAAAAAAAAAGATTTATTCAGTGATCTGCTTACATGTATGCCACCCGATCTCATTATAGATGGTTGTGAGCCACCATGTGGTTGCTGGGAATTGAACTCAGGACCTCTGAAAGAAAAGCCAGTGCTTTTAAACCTCTGAGCCATCTCTCCAGCACCAAAGGAGACTCTTCTTGAGAGTGAACTTTGGTGAACTACTATGCTGTGCCAGATCCTTAGAGAAGTGTGTGGCTAGTGCCATCATTTTGAGCCCTTCCTGTTACTTGAATTAGAAATGTGTTTCTGTTTTATTTTCTTCAAATCTTCTAATTAAGAAAATTCTATCAGGCTTTTCACTATTTCCTAATTCTGGTCACATCTGCAGAGCCCCCAACAGCTGTGTGTCCTAAATCAGAGCCTATGCTAAACGTAAGGAAGGACCTGCCACTCCTCTTGCTCTCTTACATTACTTCAAAAGCAAGATTCAGGGCAGCTGTCTTTGTTCTTTTCATTTTCAAAGCGGCTGTCAACTATTTCAATGTAGCCATTCAACTGGGTTGTCTCCACGTTGAAGTCACAAAAATCAGGGAATAGCCTATGATATTTTTATCTCTGAGCTTGTGAGACTTCTCAGCATCGCCTAACTCAGTGAACAGAAGTCTATGGCCAGAGCTGTGGTCCATTCCCAGGTGAGTTGACTGTGTGTGCTGTGAGACAAACGCAGGTAATGGTGTGGAGTTCTTCCCTAAATGGAAAACGGGGGTCCAGAACTCTCAGTTACCTTTCAGCTTCATGGGGCACCTCACTCTTCCTGTCTATTCTAAGTGAACAAGAATCTGTAGAGTATAAACCAAAGCCAATTTTTCAAATACAGGGATAAGACCAACACAGCAGCCGCCGGGGGGATTCGTGAGCTGTAAGAAGATTGTGCCTCTGCTTATCTCAGAAATACTTCATATGCATTTTCTTAGCTTGAGAAGTCAAGCTGAATTTGATTAAGCACATGTCTACACATCACACAAACCCACCCCTACTACAGAAGAGCGTGGAAACTGGAAGAAAAAAAAAGCCAGACACTTCATGGTGTGAATCAACTTCTTTCCAAATGACACATCCATTTGAAAAGGCATAAATCTTGAATTTGTTTTCTGGATAATGTTTCTTTCTAATTTCAGTTTTGATTGTGATGTAATGGGTTGGATCTACATTTCAAAGCTCGTGAAACCAAGTTTAACTCCAGGACTCTAAGGATGGAATCTCCTTTTATGGACCCAAATAAAGAACAGTGTGCTGGATTATTAGATAGGCTTTTGTTCTTTTCCTCAAATATTTGCATGAATTATTCAGCTTCTGTATGGCTGGCACTTTGAAATATTCAAATTCCTTGAACTGCTTCATTATTTAAGATTTCTATTTATTCCTGTAGTCTGTACTTTTCCTTTGGAAGTGTAGATTCAGTTCAGTCATGACTCCCTCGGTAAATGCCTACAATGAGCAGAGTCTCAGGGTGATAGAGGAGACCCAGGAGACCCAGAAATGAGCAGAGTCATTGTCAGAGGTTTGTACCCAGCAGGGATGGGACACCACGAAACCACAAAGTGCTGGTAAGCCACAAGTTACAGCTGCCAAAGGAAAAAAGAAATCTTCCAGATGCCCTTAAAGGTCTTTGAGACCTGATAATATGCAGCCCAGGCTGACCTCAAACTCACTATACAGCAACTGACAGCAGCATTGGGAATCCGACCCAGGTCTTCATGCACGCTTGGCAAACACTCTGCAAGCTCAGCTGTCTCCAGTCCCCATAAAGGAAGATCTTGAGAGCAACTGGCATCTCAGATGAACCCTGAAAGACTAACCTGGGTATCTCCAGTAGGAGACAGTGAAATAAGGGGCTAAAATCTTAACTTCTTTTGTTGGGCAGTGGTGTCACATGCCTTTAATCAGCACTTGGGAGGCAGAGGCAGGCAGATCTCTGAGTTTGAGGCCAGTCTGGTCTATAGAGGGAGTTCCAGAACAGCCAGAGCTACTCAGAGAGATCCTGTCTCAAAAAACAAACAACAAAAAATCCAAAACTTAACTTCAATAGTCATGCTCATTTAATTCTCCCACATGCTCCTGTCTGCACCTTTGAAATCCCCTCAGGAGACTGTCCAGCTGGGATGATAGGTTCCCTGTCTTCACTGACAAACACATCTGACAATTCCAGGAACTCCCTTCTTAGAGCTGCCCTTCACTGCATGGCCAGCAGGCTTCTTCTAGGGTGTCACAAGCAGTCCTTGGAAGTGACTTCCATTGGAACCTATAGCCCATATCCACACTTCCTCTTACGCAAGTGCTGCTTGACAAAAGATGCTATCTGAAGGTAAAAGGCGGGGATGGAGAGATGATGACTTAGCAGGTAAGAGTGCTTGCTGCTCTTGCAAAGGACCAGAGTTACTAGTGCCTGTATCAGGAGATTCCACCAGCGCCTGCGTGTGCGTGCCTGCGTGTGCGTGTGCATGTGCATATGTGTGTGTTATTTATTACATGTTTTTAAATTAGAAACAAGCTTGCTTCAAATGCCAGCATCCCAAATACTGTCATATAGCACATGTCTACTTCACTGGGAGAACATTGAAACTGTCCGAAAGAATAAGAGATCGCAGCAGACGTGTCGAGAGTACAATGGCATAAAAACTGAGAAGGAGGCTCAACAAGCTGGGTGATTAACTGGCCTCGAAAAAGCAGGAGGCCTCGAAGAAGGTTGTGCTTTGTTGTTGTTTTTTGTTTTTCTAGACAGGGTTTCTCTGTGGCTTTGGAGGCTGTCCTGGAACTAGCTCTTGCAGGACCAGGCTGGTCTCGAACTCACAGAGATCTGTCTACCTCTGCCTCCTGAGTGCTGGGATTAAAGGCGTGCGCCACCACTGGACCACTGACCAGCTGGAAGGTTGTGCTTTTGGACCCTAGAGACTGGGAGAAAGATAACATCTGTGACAGGATTGAAAAGGTTCAAAGGGGAAGGACTCTGGTAGGGAGCTCATGAGTGGAATGCACCAGCAGCGGATCTGTAGCAGGGAAAACATCCCGGGGATGGGATTTGCCTTAAGAGATTACTAAAGATATGAAAATAATTTGATGAAAGCGAGGGTCAAGCCGGGCAGCAAAAAAAAAACCAAAAAAAAAAAAACAAAAAAAAAAAACTTGGCCTGAAAAAAAGAAGGAAAAGTCAGAAGAGGTCATGAACCAGGGTAGTGGAACATCGTGTCAGCCAGAGGACAAAGGTAAATGCACATGCAGTCTACCCTGTTGGGTGCTGCTGTGACAGAAAGAAGGAAGTGCGCAGGCGCAGTCTGCACCGTTGGGTGAAGTGAAGAGCAAGGGGAGACAGCAGTGGTGACTGGAGAGAGACAGCAGTGGCCAGGAAAAGCCAAATGACAAAATACAGAAGCAAATGCAAGCGGCCTTCCAGCCAAAATGTATTTCAAGGACCGCTCTGATCCAAAACAACAGTGACAACAGATGAAATGCAAAATGGGAAGCAAAGTCAGGCATGTTCACACTCCAAAATATCTCTGCAGCCCAGAAACAATATGGTAAGTAGGCTGATGATATAGATCTGCTGGATCCTGCAAGAAATAAACAGAGGCGTTCAGGCCTGGGCTCACGGAGCGAAACGGTGGCACACTAATCCCAACACTTGGAAAGCAGAGGTAGGAGGAGTTCTTTGAGTTTGAGGCAAGCCTGGTCTACAAGCAGGATAGCTAGGAATTCCAGGACTGATAGGACTATCTAGAGAGACCCCGCTCCCCCATCACAAAAAAACAACGATCAAAACAGAGCCTAAAACAGGAGTAAAAACATGGAGAAGAATTCATAGCAGGCTGAAAGCTAATACTAGAACATTTAAAATGAACCTGATTAAGAGTTTCAGAGAAGGGCTGGAAAGATGGCAGCAGGTAACAGCACTTTCTGCCCTTGCAGAGGACCTGGGTTCAATTCCTAGAGCCCATACAGCAGCTCACAATCTTCAGCAGCTGCAGTTCTAGGGGATCTGATGCCGTCTTCTGATTTGCATCACTCTTATACACATGTGGCACACATATATACATTCAGACTCACACACACACATGTGAAATATAAATAAATATTTCTTTAAGAATAGCTTCAAAGTTAAGCAGAAGAATAACAGCCACAAAAGGTAATTCATGACTGTAATCCTAGCACTCAGAAGGTGGGGGCAGGAGGATCTTGAGTTCAAGACCTTCTGGGCTACACAGTAAGACCCCTGCCTCCAAAAGCAAAAATGTTTAAAACTAACCTTAAAAAGTCAATTAAAACAGAAATTCAGAAACAAAACAACCAGTCATGATTTAAAATTTTTTTATTTTATGTGCATTGGTGTTTTGCCCACATGTATGTCAGTGTGAGTGTGCCAGATTCCATGGAAATAGAGTTACAGACAGGTGTGAGCTGCCATGTGGGTGCTGGGAATTGAACCCAGGTCCTCTAGAAGAACAGCTAGTGCTCTTAACCTCTAAGCTATCTCTCCAGCCCACTACTAATGATTAAAAAACAAAAAACAAAAAAAAGCAAGTGAAAATCAAGAAATTAAAACCACAATCATTGAAATTTTGGAAAAAAAAAAAAAGGAACAACCAGGAGAGCTAAAGTTGCATGTGTGCTTACACAGATACACACACACAAATGAACATGAATATAAAAGACAAAGAAGCAATAGAGGAAAAAGAAGAGGAAAAAATGCCAAGTAGTATTAGGTCAAAGAAAAACAACTCTGAAAATAGTTCCTGTCAATAGGCATCCCTTCCAAGTAAATTTTATTAAACTTCCAATGAAGAGAAAATAGCTATGACATAGAAACTATTTTGTAAAACTGAGAATAAAGGAAGCACTGCCCTACTAATTAGGATTCTAGCACAACCCTCATACCTAATGCAAATGACAGTGCAAAGAGAAATTACAGACTACAGTCAGGACACAACTGAAAAGGTTCTAAATGAAATTTCTGATAAATAATTCAGGATTGCATTTTGGAATGTTAAAACACGTAACTAAACAGTGCTTATCTGACGAATTAAAGAACGTTCTGACTTATGCCGGATGGTGGTGATGCACACCTTTAACCCCAGCACTCAGGAGGCAGAGCTCTGTGAGTTTGAAGTCAGCCTCAGCTACACAGTCAGTGACATTCTGTATCAAATTTTTGATAAGAAAAGAAAATCTATGAATAAGTCTACAGTATTGGACACATGCAGAAAAACAAAAATCAACCCTCAACAAAACAAAAGAAGACATCCTACAAAAGCTACCTGCCCTAAGTGAGTAAAGTACACACACATTTCATTTATCCGTTGCCTCCTCTTGTTCATTCACCAAAGGCTACCATGGATGTTCTCCTAGAGTGTAATCACCTCACACAAAAGAATCTCAAGAGGCATGACCTACGCCTGGCTTATTCTGATTTTCGCAGATTCCCACTGTTCTTAGTAGTTTATGAAATCGTCTGTGTTTCCACATTGTTGTCAGCATCTTTTAGACGTTTTCCTCACCAAGAAACAAACATAAAATGTAGGCCCGAACACTTCCAGTGTTTACTGAGACCCTGTGATGTGTGAAGCACAAGAGAAATCAGAAACAACGGTGATGGGGCCACCGTAAAATATGGAGAGCAAAGAAAGAAGACAGCATTTTTCATACACTGCACTGGCAATAAATAGGAAAGATTAATACCAAGCGTTGACAAGGGTGCGGGACAACAGGAGCTACTAGGAATAGAAACTGGCTCATAGAAGTTCCCTCTCTATATGTGCCTGCCTATTTTTGACTTAGCTACCTTGGTATCCACATTAGAGAGACAGTCATTTAAAAGGAAAGGGAAGTAGGTAAATGATTATTTACTCTAGTATCATCTGCAGTCATAAAAATAGCAAAGCAGCCTATATGATCATCAAAAGAGGGACAGATCCACAATCAATGGTACATCTGAGTTACGTAAAACTATGCAGTGGTTAAAAAGAATTAGAATAGCCAGGCGTTGGTGGCTCACACCTTTAATCCCAGCACTCGGGAAGCAGAGGCAGGCGGATCTCTGTGAGTTTGAGGTCAGCCTGGTCCACAGAGCTAGTTCTAGGACAGCCTCCAAAACAATACAGAGAAACCCTGTTTCAAAAAACAAACAAAAAAAAATTTAGAGCATAGTAACAGATCCCTCCCCCCTTTCTTTTAGTTTTTTCCTAAGCAGGGTTTGTCTGTGTAGCCCTGGATGTCCTGGAACTCGCTCTGTGGACCAGGCTAGCCTCAAACT